TTTTTTTTTTTTTTTTTTTTTTTTCAAAGAGACAGCATCTTACTCTGTCACCCAGGCTGGAGTACAGTGGCGTGATCATAGCTCACTGCAGCCTCCAACTCTGGCCTGAAGCAATCCTCTTGCCTCAGCCTCCCTAGTAGCTGGGACTACAAACATGCGCCACCACACCCAGCTAATTTTCTTTTAATTTTTTATAGAATTGGGGTCTGTTGTGTTGGCCAGGGTGGTCTCAAATTCCTGGCCTCAAGTGATCCACCCAGACTGCTAGGATTACAGGAATGAGCCACTGTGCCTGGCCTGATTCCTGCTTTTCTGACAGCCTCCCTCTACATATTACTAACCCCTTTCTTGCTGGACCTGCTTTCCCTCTGCAGCTGTGGGCCTGTATGCCAGGCGAGGCTCTTACTTCTGTTGCTGCTGTGGCCTTTGGATAATTAAATTATCTTATCCCAGCTAGTTCCCCATCACTCAGAAAGCCCTGTGACCAAGAGCTAAGGCTCAGGATTTGTCTGCAGGACTGGGCTTCATGGGAACTCTTATGTGTAGGTGCTTTCCTCTCTTCTCCCTCTGTCCCTGGGCATTACATTCTAGCTATGTGATTACTTGTCACCCTCACAGGATTTACTCACTGGGTCTTCCTAAAACAAAGAGGCATCTGGGGATCTCCTGGTGTGAAGATTGTGAATTTGAAGCAGCTGTCATATAGTCACCTGGTCTTTTATTTGTCCTTGTGCATTTGTGTCTCAGCATTTCTCAGAATTTATGGGAATAGAGAGAATGACATGTGATTGTGCTACTAACATCTCTGTTACAGATGAGATTTTATTTAAATATAAAATAGTCTAATGGTTCCAAAAGTTCTAGAGTGACACTTTTGAGGATAATCATATTGTTTAAATGACTATGTGATCTCTTTATATCTACAGTATTGTAATTGGGAAAAAGTGCAAGATTCACATGGCTTTTTTTGGAATTATAAAAGGGCGGTGGAATGAAATAAGTCGTCTTTCTTAAGGCCCAAATTGTCTCTGATATGTTTCATGATATGTTGTAAAATGAATTGAAAGTCATCTAAGGGCATACTAGTCTATTTCTGAAAAGTGAGGAAAGAGGCTAGTAAAGAAACCAAATATTAACACTTCAAATTGTGGACCTCAGATCAGTTGTATGCTTTGAGAATTACACCATGTGTTTTCATTCTTCATAAAGTCACAGTTCCTTGGGAATGCTTACTGCATTCATGGCTTTTGTAAACATTCCAGTCGTCTTTGCTCTTGAACTTCCTGTTCTTTTACCCAGCATATTTTCCTAGAAATATTTGTTTCTCTCACATAGTAATGAATAGCAGAATGGGAGTGGATGAAACAGTTTTGCTGACCTATGGACTTTTCCTGTTGTTGTAGAGGAGCTTCTTTCTAGGTTATTTTTGTAATTCTTAGTCCTCAATATGCATATGAATGCCAGGAGAGTTCTTAGATGACAAATGTGATTTTTTTTTGGCTCTATGTATTTGTTAACAAGATCATTCCTTACTCGTATACTGAAGTGATCCTTTGGCTCTTTCTAGAATTTTCTCTAGATCTAACTAATTGGCCAAATGAAAGAAAAACCGTCTTATCAATATTTGTTTCCTTTTTCAATGAATTATGGTTGCAGGCAATGTCATCCTATTGCGTCACCTCACAGTGAAACGGCACCAATTCCAGTTCCCACTCAAATAAGGAATTATCAGCGCATAGAGCAGAATCTTACATCTACTGCTGGCTCAGGCACAAATCTACATGGTTCTCCAAGGTAAGCTATCTTTTTTCTTTCTTAATTCTTTTTCTTTTCTTTTAAAAAACCTTTTGTTGTTGTTATTACAAGATCTTTACAAGGCAAAGTTAGTCTGTTACATACGTGTATAATGGAAATGCACAAAGTCATACAAAATTGAATAATAAAAAGTTTTATAATTGATCAATTTGATATTTAAGCTTAGCTGGTTAATATAGTATGATAAATATATATATTTGTTATATATATATATTTTTGAATTCAACAAATATTTATTGAGTACTATTATGTGCTAGATACTGTTCCAGGTACTTGGGACACATCGGAGAACAGAACAAAGTCCTTCCCTCATGGAGCTTACAGCCTAGTGTTTATTGCCACTTCACCTGCATATGGTCTATGACTGGGGGCAAGTCACCACACCTGTGTCCTCAGCTGCCCAAAAGGGATAGCAGGCTGGGCTCGGACATGGATTCTGTGCCTGGTGTACCGCAGATGCCAAACCAGACCCCCAGCCCACCACCCAGACAATGGACAGGGCTGGAAGCTGATTTTTAATAACAGAGCACAATGGGGACAGGGCAGAGGGAGTGGAACTGAGTTGTCTGGTGTGCTGTGGTGGTGGCAGGCTGGCTACACAAACTGCTGCTGCTGCTGCTTGGTGGCTGCCTTGTTGGCTAGGTCCTTGGCCTTCTCTGTAGCTGCCAGTGCTGTCTCCTTTGCCTTCTCCTTGGCTTCCTCAACAAGTGTTTTGAAAGGGGCCTCACCCTGCAGCTTGGCCCAGATGTACTCAAAACTTTCATAGTCTTGGTCACGTTGCTTTTGAACCAGGTGAGACCAAATTCCTGGACAGCTATGGAGACGCCAAATAAGCTAGAGGAGACCCAGGCTTCCCGACAGATTTTGGTCCGGCCGCTGTTGTCAGAGTTCACATAGTAAACACATCGTTCCTCCACCATCATCAGCCAGACATGGTTGATGTTCTAGGTGAACGTGGTCATGGTCTGATTCTGTGGGTCCACGGTAGAGTCCTCCAGGATGTATACCGAGTGAGCAACACTGGCAGGAAACAGTTGCTCGGCCCAGCAGGGCATCCTGTTGGTCTTGGTCAGGAGGCGCCATGACAGGTGCTTCTGGTCAGGGCTCACCTCCCAGTGTACTAGGTCTTCTGTAAAGACACGTTTGCTATAGGGATTCGGGTACCGCTGCCAGAAGGTGGCGAACACTTGGTCCCAGGAACTCTGGAGCACGCTCTGGCCCAGGAAATACTTCACCATCGTCCCGGCCAGGGTGAGCTCAGCACCCAAGCTGCATTAGGGGTGCGGAGCCCAGGGAGGGTTCATGGTGGCTGGCCTGGGCTCAGCGCTCTCCCGCCGCCAAGCTAGCAGCTCAGTCACCATTTTACCGCACCCAAGCCGCCACAGCCACCGTGAGTCATCCTTGTTATATGTATTAATACATACTTAAGTATAATTACTTTTAAGAATTGAGGAAGAACTTGTTAAAAAATGATATCGCACCAGTTGTATCAGATTATTTACATATTGTTTATTTCTTCCCCTCCTGAGACCCCACTAAGAGTGTAGTAAAGGAATAACAAAGTTGTAAGTCTACAAAGACAAGTGAAATAAGGATAGATGTTCAGTGGGTGAGAAAGCTTGATAAATTTCTGGAAAGCCGAAAGGATAGAAGAAGGGTACCTGCTTTAGCATGGCATATGTAAGTGTGCATGTAATCAGGGATTCTGAAACAATGAGAATCACTGTGCCCTGTGGTACCCTCAGGGAGACCTAAATCTCAGAGAACTTGCAGAGTGAAGGGAGGAAATGGCCCTTCACCTTCTGATAACTTAGTATACATGCATAGTCAGCTACATATTTGACATGTGCAGTCCTTGCCTGTGCATGAAATTGCATATATGCACAAAGTTGTTAACTGTTACAGTAGTGAAGGATGAGAAATGAGCCAAGTGCCTCCCAGTAAGGAACTAATTTTTTATAGTCCATCTCTGACAGTGGAATACTGTGTATCTTCCATTCTAAAAAGAGTGAGGAAGCTCTCTATGTACTGAAGTAGAAAAACTTCCAAGGTATATTATAAAATGGAAAAAGTAAGCTGTGATCTCAAAGTGTGGTCTGTGGATCCTTTCACGGGGTCCATGAGGTCAAAACTTTTCATAGTGATACTATGACATAATTTGCTTTTTTCGCTACATTGATATATGTGCACTGATGGTACAAAAAGCAAAGATGTAAAACTGCTGTTGCCTGCACGTGAATCAAGGTGGTCTGTTAGTCTTTGTATTCTTCACAACCACACACTGATACAAAGGAATGTCCTTGATGAAGCAGTAAAAATTATCATTTCTCTTTGAAAATCTTCATCCTTGAATGGAATGTACACATACAGGCACTTTTGCTGCATATGAGAATAGTTCTGTTAGGAAAAGCACTTGTATGATTGAAAAGCATTTGTATGACTGTTTTAGTTGCAAGCTGAACTAGCTGCTTTTTCATAGAACACCTTTTTACTTTTAAGAACAACTTAAGAAGTATGGTTATGGGTATTGAGCAGCCATTTTGTTAAAAGTGAACTAAGTTTTGCCTCTTTTTAAGAAAACAAATGACACTAAATGTCAGTGATAAAATTTGAGCTCTCAAGCAAAAATCAGAATTTTGGAAAACTTGTATTCACCACTGTGATTTTGACAGCTTCTGTTACACCTTGAGAGATGTTTCTGTTCAAATTGATGGTGATATTTTGATATGAATGTGACTTTCTGATATCATGTAATGTATCAACATTTGTCATATCTGGATAACTCAGTGAACCAATATTTTCCAAATGACCAAATGTTAAAATATCATGCACAGGTAAAAGATTCCTTCAAAGTGCAAGATTCTTCGCAAAAGAATGGAGTGAAGGAGTTCGTTGATGAGGTTTCAGATACCACATTGCAGCTAAACTTTTAGAATTGATCACTTGCTGAGTTTTGGGGTAGTGTCAAAGAAGGGTATCTGAAAAGGTTACCAAAATATTCCTTCCTTTCCCGGTTATATGTCTATAGAAGGCTGGATTTTCTTCATATGATTCACTCAGAATAGCATAGAGCATATCTTATAACAGATTGAATGCAGAAGCCATAATGAGAATCTAAATGTTTTCTATTAAGCCAAACATTAGAGATTTGCAAAAATGTAAAATAATGCCATGCTTCTCACTAATTTGTTTTGGAAAATATATTTATTTTTCATAATCTTAAGTTACATATAATAAGTTTATTTTTAATGGATTAATTTTTAAAATTTCTAAGTTAATTTCTAATATAGTAAATGTCAATAGATACTAGTTATAAATGAAAGCTCTCTGGGTCTTCAGTAATTTTTAAGAGTATAAAGGGGATTTAAAACTAAGATTGAAAATGGTTGGTATGTGATATATCACCTTTGGTGTCGAAGCAAGGTGAGACTAAGATTACGTATTCAGTTCGCATGTATATGCATTAAGGAACTCTGGAAGGATACACTAGAAACTAAAAACAGTGGCAAACTTTTGAGTAATATTGCGGAAATATTAGGAATTAGGCAGGTAGAATACAGGGTGGGAGGGACACTTTACTTTATCATTTTATATTTGTTCCATTTGACTATGTTACATATTTTTTAAAACTCTACTCCAGGCTGGGTGCAGTGGCTCACGCCTGTAATCCTAGCACTCTGGGAGGCCGAAGCGGGAGGATCTGAGCTCAGGAGTTCGAGACCAGCCTGAGCAAGAGTGAGACCCCATCTGTACTAAAAATAGAAAAAATTAGCCGGGCGAGGTGGTGCTTGCCTGTAGTCCCAGCTACTTGGGAGGCTGAGGCAGGATGATCGTTTGAGCCCAGGAGTTTGAGGTTGCTGTGAGCTAGGTTGACACCACTGCACTGTTGCCTGGGCAACAGAGCGAGCCTCTGTCTCAAAAAAAAAAAAAAGAAAGAAACTCCAGGGCATATTGTTAGGAAGTTTCAGAAAAAACGAATAAAGAGAAAGTTCTGGAACCTGCCAGAGAGGGAGTAATTTTCTTTTACTTTTCAGATCTGCAGTGGTGCGAAGGTCTAACACCAGTCCCATGGGCTTCCTCCGGCTGGGATCCTGCTCCCCGGCGCCAGCAGACACAGTACAGACAGTTGGACGAAGACTCTCCACTGGGTCTTCCAGGCCTTATTCACCTTCCCCTTTGGGTCAGGAGAGTTTAAAACAGTTGTTTTCAACAATTTTTTCAGTATAACAAATCTGATATGACACAATCTTTAGGAACTTTGGCTCATGACGGCAGTGATTCTCAGCTGAGTGCAGGCTGTATCCCATCCCTCCAACTCTACCCTACTCCCAATTCTCTCTTAAGAATCTCTGTATAAATCTGTTGGGACCTCTACTAGAAATGTAATAATATAAAGGGCCCTTATATAAATAGCATCTCCATTGGGTTTGGGCTCTAAATGCAAAGTTAGAAACTCCAGGTTAAAGTGTTTAAAATGCCTATTCTACTTATCACTCAGATTTATGAAGATTAAAATATAGAGGCTCTGGCTCATGTTTACCAGTAAAGTTCCAGGTGGCAGCTTTGTTACAGATCTTCCCACTTTTCCTGCAAGCCATACATAGTAGCAAGGAGAATGCCAAAACAACAGCAACAGCAAAAGCCCTGCCAAGCAGAAAAACCAGACATTACATCTTCAGTGAAACTAAGGGACAAAAGAAAAAGCTCTAATTCAAGTATGTGTAAGAAAGCCAAAGCCACTGAGACGACAGCATCTGTGCGAGAGCAGATTCAGATGGTAGGAAGAACACGTGGTGCAGAGAAAGCCCGGAGGTGGCAGAGCCCAAAATGGTGCACGCACACACACACCCAAAAAACCCAAAACAGAAAACTTCCAAAAGGAGAGGGCCCCGCCCTCAGTCAGAACTGCTTGAGTAAGACTAAGATGGAACAGGAAGAAATGTCAGAAGGAGACAGAAGAGTTGCAAGTAGTCTGCAGGAGCCCTATTTAAAACAAAAAAACTCAAGTGATAGTGTTTTTTAAAAAAGGTTTAAATTGCCACATCACTTGTTGCAATGGTTTCAAAGCTGTTTTAAGCTGAAAAATCTTAAAATCTTGACCCTCCATCACCCTCACAGCCAGAGGTCGCCAAAGACAAGGTCCAAGCCTTATCCTTGCACTCAAGGATTAAAGTGCCTAAACCGCACCCCTCCCCCCACCCCTTCTGTGTTTGTTTGGTTCTCAGGTAGATACAAAGAAGGTGTTAAATATGCGAGATTGATTAGGGGAAATGCCTGTGAAGGATACAGGAGAGGGGGCAGGAGGAGGCAGGGAGGACCCTCAGACCAAGATGATACAGGTCTGGCATCTGGGAAAGGAGGGACAACTGGGCAAGAAGCGTCCAGATTATAGTGCAGTTGTAAAAAGTTTTTAGCCAGAATGAAGGAGTAGCTGTAAGCACGGAGTTGTCTGTTAGACTGAGGAATTCCCTGACCCACGTCTGCAGGCCTGAATTAGTGTCCTGCCACCTGCAGTCCTTGGCTGGGAGCAGCCCTTGAGAAGCCTCTGCACAAATGTGGTGGATCCAGAGGGACAGCATCTGGGGCTGTCACTCAGCTGTGCCCTGTAGATCCGCAAGCCCCACACACTTTGTACAAACTCTTTGTACTTCTCTGTCTTACACACGTACCTGTTAGAGGCATTTATTTGTTTACGTGACTTTCTTTCCTGATGTTCTTGTTTTTCAAGGCAGGTTATGTGGTGCTTTTTATTGTAGTGTGTCCAGCGCCCAGCATATTTGTCATTCGATAAGTGTTACTTGAACTAAAGCTTTGCTAATAAAAACTTTGTAAGCTATCATATACTGTGCAATTTATGCATGTTACTTATTTCTGTCCTTTATTGGTTTTGAATCATTTCTTCTTTTTCCCACTTCTCTTTTCACAGTTGGTACCATTCCTGAGCAGTTTAGTCAGTGCTGCTGTGGGCATCCTCAGGGCCACGAATCTAGGAGTAGAAACTCCTCAGGTAGGAGAATGTATTTGGTATATTAATAATTTGAATTCTGTGATATATGGATTTGAGTTACGGTTTTCCAGACTTATCAAAAGAACATATTTGATAGGAAATATTTCCTCTGCCATTCTGTTGTTTAGAATCTTGGTCTAATATGATTTAACATGACATATAGCTAATCTAATATCTCCTTTTTTTTTTTAACCCCCCAAGTCCGCTAATATCTCCTTTTCAATATAAGATTCCTTAATGAAAATAAGGCTTAGGAATTAAATTACTTAGACAAATTTTGGTTATTTTCACAATGATAATGAAAAGCAATCGAGAAAATGAAATTTCATTACTTTAATACTATTGATTAATACTATTCTTGGTAAGAGCCATCAGTCAGCATCAGGTAAAAAACATGTTTATTTTCTTTATAACATATATTTATGCCAGGAAAGATATGTGTAAATCATACTTTTATAAGTCAAATTCAATTGTGTGGGTATTTGAGGAGTTGGACAGTTAAAGGAGTCCTGTGTTACATAGAAGAACACTCTTTTCTAAGTTTAGTTTTTTTATATTTTGTGTTTTCTTAAAAATAAAGCTTAGGCCGGGCATGGTGGCTCACGCCTGTAATCCTAGCACTCTGGGAGGCCGAGGCGGGTGGATCGCTCAAGGTCAGGAGTTCGAGACCAGCCTAACCAAGAGTGAGACCCCCGTCTCTACTAAAAAATAGAAAGAAATTATTTGGACAACTAAAAATCTATATAGAAAAAATTAGCCGGGCATGGTGGCGCATGCCTGTAGTCCCAGCTACTCGGGAGGCTGAGGCAGCAGGATCGCTTGAGCCCAGGAGTTTGAGGTTGCTGTGAGCTAGGCTGACACCATGGCACTCTACTCTGGGCAACAGAGTGAGACTCTGTCTCAAAAAAAAAAAAAAAAAGATAAAGCTTAAATAACTTCCTCTAGATTATCACAGTTTGATACTAATTTCATTTCTTTCAATAAATGGCAGAACACTGTTCTGAAAAATTAAATACCAGGTTTGGAATGAAATGAAGCCAGGAGTGGGTCAGTAGCAAAGTTCCTATTGGTGTCTGTTTCTAGGAAGATGCTGGTTAGGCCACTTAAGAATATTTGCATGCCCTTCGTGTTATTGTTGATAGTTTAGCTTACAGGAAACGCCAGAGAATGTGTAACTGGAGTCAAGGCTTAGTGGACCTCTTAAGTCGGCATCAACAAGGTTTGTGCGGGGAAGGGGGGACCCTATCTCCTTGGCTTTTGATGTGGTGTCTCCTCAAAAGATAAGAATATCTGTGGACAGGTGTTTTCTTTGTAGGGAATATGGGTACTTTAGGTTTTATGTGAGTCACTGAGGAAACTGACAAAATACATAAAATATCCACATGCTTTGTTTTTAGACAAATGAAGTAAAATCCAGGAAAGGTCTGTTGTTTTTACGATCTTCTTTGCTACATTTTATATATATTTGTTTTATTTTATTGAATAAGGAGTTATTCTGGATTAGTTTGAAAAGTTTCTTTTAGTTGCTATGTGAGAAAAGAGAATAATTACATTAATGATACCCAAATATATATTCATGTAAAGAGTAAAAATCATCATGTTCGATGTAAGGCTTTGTTGTTTTCATTAACTTTAACCATTAACTGTTGTTCTCTTTGGGTGCTAATCAGACCTTGCATTAATCAGAGTTAT